ATCGAAACAGCGAAGCGAAGCGACCGCGAGCAGCGGCGCCACGACATGGCCCGCCATTTTAAATCAGTGCAGCGAGACCGGGCCTCTTGAGCTGGAACCTTCAAGTTTTGTTGCTGTCTGCTCGCTCAATCTGAATCATTCGCTCACTCGTGTAGACTGAATTGTTTTGCTTCGATGAAATCAACATCAACTGTGTGTTCGCGATGCTAGACATATGACAGAGGAAGGGTTTTGAAGGGAAGACTCGCGTCCGACCCGGACTGACCAGTGGTATTCGCGACAAATTCACGATACGGCAAACCGGTTCGCTTTCAGCCTCGGAGCGCCCATGCGCCATCCGCTCACCACGTGATAACATGGAGTCAGGTCCGGCAATCGCTCCTACCTGAGCTATCGACCGACCTCACGACTACCTCTTCAGCGTAAATTTTACATCGACAGCCTGTGATGTCTATAGAAACTGGGGATAAGATGTTTGACATCTATGCTACCTTCCAACGGATACTCGGAGATGACCAAGTGAGCCTATCTGCTACTGATGCAGTAGCTTTCGTCTCAGAAATCCACGCGTTACCGAGATATCACCCCCGCTTGCTGCAATTCTAGCACTGACAGAATCAATAGGAAAATCTAACGGTGAGCTCGACGACGAATGCTGGCATTATCCATGGCAATAACGATTTTTGACTGGACAATTGATAAGCCGGTACAATGTTCGAGCTCGTCCAAGCACTCAACGACGATGCTGAAGAATTGAAAAAGCGTTCACCAGATTCCATCAGTCTGAATGCGGGCTGCGAACTTTTTATAGCATTTGTCACCTTATTTCCGCATGAATCAGACGTAATGCTTTCTGCACAGATAATTAGAATATGCACTGATGATCGCCACCTCCGTTCAACGTGTAGAGCTTTGCGGAGCTGAAAACCGAGCTTGTAGAACAAGGCAGAAAATATGCCTCAGACGCGATCTCCTTCCGCGAAAAGATTGCTGAACTCACGCTCGGCTTCATTAAAGACGATTCGATGGTGCGTCTACCTCATGCGCATGGCCTCTGATAAGCCCTGGAACCTTTACCACAGATCCTCACGCACTCATATTCACGTGTTGTGATGAAAGCCCTACTCCATGCCCACAAAACGAAGAGAATATCTGTTTACGTGACCGAGGCGCGGCCTCGCGGACTAGGGTACATTGTTCTTGCAGATATAATGGAATGAGCTCACGGAGTTGTAATCCGATAGGCTTAAGACATACGAAGCACTGACTTCGGCTGGTATACCATGCACTATCGTGCTCGATTCGGCTGTAGCCTACGTCATGGACCGAGTCGACTTCGTCCTCGTAGGGTCAGAAGCAGTCGTTGAAAGTGGTGGTCTGATCAATGCCGTGGGGAGCAATCAGATGGCGATCATTGCAAAAGCAGCCAGTAAACCCTTCTATGCGCTTGCTGAAAGGTAAGCTGCCCGCCTCGCGGTCGACTAGCGGTAAATTGATGCACCCTTCAGCTATAAATTTCACCGACTTTTCCCCCTATCACAGTACGATCTTCCAACGCACAATCCAACGATCTTGTCATTCCCAACATTGCCGCAGTACCCTACCTTTCTGGAGACCGACTTCGCCCGCGGTACTCCAAATGTTCCCCCGTCTGCTGAAAACGAAATTCGGACATCCAAACAATCGCTACCGACGGCGGAAATGAAGATGAATGCGGAACAAATTTCCCGGAATCCCAGTGTTGATTACACCAGGTGCCGCGATTGTTCCACTTTACTGCGTTTGCAACTTACCTGTTTCGTCTTGTTCAGACCGGACCTCATTTCCTTGGTGTTCTCTGACGTTGGAATACTGACTCCGGAAGGCGTCAGTCAGTATCTAGTCGGCATGTTCGCCGGTTAGGTGGTTATCGTTTTCCACGACGGTCGGAGCGACGTTCTGCGAAAGCAACCATTTTTTCCCCGACCATGTAAATCAGCTATAGCTGCACGACGAGCTCAGCTAGTATCATCACTCGTCCTGGATCAGTCAATCTGCATGTGACCATAACAGGTGTTCTCCTCAAAAATCAAAGCCGATTTGTCTTGTACTGACTACATGTCTTCTACATATCCATAATTGACGCAGCGGCTTGCAACACTGCCGCGTGTGTTTGCTGACTTTAGATATGATATCGATATCGTGATCTAGTCGTCACCCGCAGCGTGCTTGTCGTGTGCGCCCCCCGGTGAACCTCGTGTAAATACCAGTCCCGCTGGCATTTGTCGCTTCGGGCTGCTGAGAAATCAGAAATGCCCCAGCTTCTCGTAATATTGCGCTTACCCTTTGCGAAGTATTATGAGACAAGTTCGTCCTAGATCCGACGACTCGTCGTACGGCCCAAAGTAGCAGATCTGGCTGCAGGAGAGTACGCTGCTCGTCCTTACGCAAGAGGCCCCGGCTCTTATCGCATGACCGGCCCTGTACCCAGCGATTCGTCACTGTATCATATTCAGCCGGGTACCCGTCTTAATTTAACGTTTTAGCTTTAGCGTGCCGAAGTCCATTGCGTATTACACAACGCATAGTCGTTGCCCGTTCGATCAGCTCCGTTTGGTCGGTCTCACTCCGTAAACTTTTCCGCAAGGCTATCCCTCGTGCCATGCCCTTGATTCTGTCGTGTCCATCTTGATACACAGAGACGCCTTTTACACGCAGCGGTCCGATTCATTGATGTTATCGACCTTCGCCGCGGCGGTCGCTCAGGATGCGACCGTTTTCGACATAGGCACCGGATCTATTCCAGCGCTGCTCGCCGTACTATAAATTATGAGCGTTGCGTACTGTTCGTGTCTCATCAACTTTTGTTCCCTCCTACCAGATACATCGCTATGTGCCACTTCCGACGGTGAGTCTTTCAGACGAACCGTCTTGTGAAGGAGACTCATGGAACGATCCAAAGCGTTCGTAACCACTACAAGCGCTGCGGTCATTACATAGACTTGGTACGTTCTCCCACAGCTTCATCTTCTACTGTAAATTAACCGTGAGATTGGTAGCCTGACGAAGAGGTAACCACGTTGATCCTGGATCTTATTCAAACGACTCACAGGCGTCTAGATCAAATGTGCCGATAGTAACTGCAAGTTCAGTCCAGCACATCCCCACGACTGCGCCCCTCCAGTGTGCACCCAAGTGCGTAAATGTTGGCAGTAGTAAGTTCCGGTATTCTAAACTTCAATGATGACGTATCTGACACTATCATGTAGTCATCAGTTCCCAGAGCAATACTGTTAGTTCTGTGGTTCCTCGCTGAAAATCTGACAAACATACCTTTGCTTCTAACAGATCCGGTCATCGATGGCTATTGTCCGATTTGTATCCAAACTGGAAAGGCTCGTTAATGGTTTCCTTCATCGCAAGTCCTACTATTCGGTTGACTCCTTCCCATCCGACGTCCTCCGGCTGAAGTGTACCCTTCTATTTCTTATAATCAGCTCCAATCTTGAGACATCTCACACAGAATTGTAACAATGCTAAGATGATGTACGTACCGACGTGTGTATAAGACCGCATAGAGCCTTCCGAGACGACAAACATACCTGAGAAGCAATGTCATGAGGGCATGGCACATCATTGACTCCTCGATTTTCGTTATCATCCTGATGAGAGTGATTCTATCCGATATCCCAGCTTTAGTATTGGATGTCCGAGTCCACGGCGTGTAAGGTCCGCAAACCCAGGGTGGGTGCATCCGGAATGACGACAACCAAATCAGCACCAGACGACAGGCAAACAAGACGAGGGATGCAGGTCGCAGTGACATCGTGATAGTTGTCTCGGTGGCTGTTTTGGGCCGCGCATGCGTCAGTGAGTCTGTCGTGCCAGGTCCTGCAGGTGATAAGGAAGACGAGAAGAGATGAAAACCCGAGATGGCATGGGAAACCCAGAAACCCCAAGTGACGGCTCTCGGAAAGGCGCTTGGACCGGATTCTCGGGAGACATGTCATCTTTCTATAGCTAACGAACCTGCCGCATGTGATAGGACCACAAATCAAACTGAGTCGCTAGCCTTGAAAGTAAAGTGGTGCGTCAGGACAAGGGCCGGACATCGATGATTGCGAAGCCAGGGTGGCTCGAGAAGCAAAGATCGTCCATGGGTAGTCAAAGTAGTGTCGCGGAGTGGCACAGAACTAATGTGCCTGCATGAGCAAATGCAGACGGCGATACACAGTGAAGGAATGCTGCGGGCGACAGATTCTTACAAGTGGGGGGTGCTGGAAGGGCTTATCGGAAACGACTTCCCGGTATGTACCAGTAAGAGAGCCAAGTATTTACCTGGTGGGGACAAGGAATGAGTCCGGTACTCAGTCAGATGATATGGAAGATAACGGAAGGCGGAACTTGTTTGCAGGATACTGGGAACTGTCGAGAGAGATGAAGCACATGTATCTTGCTGAACTCATCTTAAACTCATCAGATGACGTTCGTGTGGAAACAGGAGGGATACCGACTGAATCTGATGTGACACTCGCCCGCTGGCCGTAGGCCGAGGAACGTGGCTGCTCAGGAGATCTAGCGGAGAGTCGAGCGGGAATGGGTAAAGAGTGTCTCCGCAACTCATGGTGATGAGGCGACAAAGGGTGGGCGCACGACTGGGCACGATCTCCGGATTGGGGAAGCTAGGTCGAATATTGCAGATGCTGAGAATGAGAGCGCTGTTGATTCGGATTTGGGACTGGACTGTCGAGAGGAGGGAGGACGGAGAGGGGAGCGATGGCCGGAGATGGGCCAGATTGAGAAATGAGATGGATGGACTAGTGGGATATTTGGATCCGCGTTGATGGATTCAGGAGAGAGTTTCAGTGACTGAGTGAGGCCTCGCTCGGAGGAGGGGCGCAAGCCAGGACAGACGATTGGCGCCCGTGATCAGACGGCTGCCTGTTTTGGGCATGAAGGAACGTCGGGCGATGGTCGTCTCCCTCTTTCTCGCCCCCCACCACCACCACCACCACCATCGCGGGCTTGCAACGTTCGCACTCCACGTGCTGCGACGACCCCTCCCCAGCTATGTTCCGGCACTCGCATGCGTCTTCGCCTCGAGACATCTACACCGAACTGCCTCCTATCAACGCAAGCAGCCTCCTTTCTCCTTCTCCGCCCCATCTCACGACCAGATAGAACCACCGCGTCAGACTGACCTCCTCTGCACCCTTTACGCCGACTTACGTCAAGGACCGCGTAGCGCGATCCGCAGATCGTGCTCAGATATACGCCAGCCGCGTGCAAGGTCGTCAGCTTCTCCTCGAGAACCCCGCCCGCGCCAGCAAGGCCAAGCAGCTCCGAGAACATAACAAATCCAACAGACTCACGGAGAGGGCCAGAAAGACCGCTGGTGTCATATCCCCCCGCGCTGCCCGGGAAAATGGCTTCTGCAGACTGAATCAGGTGGAAGCAAAGTATCACGATTCCTTTTTCAAAACAGAGTCCGAGGCTTACGGATGACTAGGTTTCGATTGTTCCTGCCCCTGCATTCCTTATGGATAGGTTACATGTCCGAACTTCTCGCTCTTTCTCCCTCCCCGTCCAATCCCATCACTCAGCCTCCCCCTAATGCGCTTCCGAATACCGCAACAATGCATGCGAAGCTCGTTAAAGCGGACTTTCACGGCTCCCTTGTGACCGGTGCGTATGATCCTATCATCCACACCTTGACCTTCGTGCCCCTTAAACGCTCATATTGCCTCCAGTGAGACAGAGTAAGAATCCTTGTCTCGTTGGCCTTTCGGGCCTTGTCATCCACGAGACAGAAAATGCGTTCAAGATTGTCACCAGGAAAGATCAGCTGAAGTGTCCGTGACCTTATCTCCAAGTCGTGGATGCCGTACTTGTCTGACTGCGGTCGTCTAGTGATCCCGAAGAAGAACTCTATCTTCGTTTTCGCCGTTCCATTGTACTCCACCTCGCCTCCATCACTACCGCCGACACAAGTCACTGCTGCGATGGCCGCCACTCCGGAAGACGCTGTTACCACTCCCTCGGAAGCAGTGCGGACAGTGCTTGATCTTCCGCACATCGAATTTGAGCTTTACGGGACTCAGTTCTGCTTCCGTGCTGCTGAGCGCGTTGGCCGAAAGTTCAAGCATAAGGAAACGATCGAGCTCTGAAGAAGCTGCCACTCCGGTGGTGGCATGTTTATCCATGCTTCCGAACCCGACGCTCTGTGCGCTATACTCGTCGGTTCTGCATATACCCGCGTTCACGCGACCTCCGGGCCGGAATAACTGGTATAAAACTCTTGTGGTATAGATCTTCCCTACTTCTATGACACCTATATATGGTAGATCTTCGTCCGGTTCGCGCCTAGGACAGCCTCCTGGATGCCGTGATGGTTTGGAGGTGTGAAGATCTCTTTCTCTTGATTGAGGATGTCCCACAAGTATGAACAGATGACGTGGGTGTCTACCATATATGTACCAGATACGTTCAAATCACCGAGCAGCTTAATGAAGGAAACCGTTGTCAACGCTCCGCTGGCGGTATCGGGGTAGATCCCTTTACTGGTTTCCAACTTCCAGACGGCAGATTATTCGGCGTATTCCCGTCAGGAGGGGACGTCGGTGTTTGATTGGAATCAGCGCGCGACACCGGCGCTTGATGAGGATGTGCACTTGCGAGTCCAGATGATGGGCTATATAGCTTCTGTCGACTGGATGCATTACCCGGCGGAGGGATCTTTAGTAGCCACATTTTAGTAAGAGAAGGCCATATAATGGACAAATTTGGCTTACCGATGCCACAGAAGACAGGTGGGCTGCAATGTTCTGCAAGTCCTGAGCGGCGTAAAATTCGAGCATGATTGTCAAAGCGTCTGCAGGCGAAATCGAATATGCTACCTCAATAGAAGAGGATAAACACGAACCAGCAACATTGACTAAGTCTACTTCGTTAAACGCGAAGAACTCTACGGCAAACCGAGAGGCGTCTGGCGACACAAACTTATGGGAGGGTGGCGTGGGCAGGGATGTAGATGGGGCGGGAGAAGCTATCCGGATATCAAGCGAGGGCGACTGGGGACCTTCAATAACATATTGCGCAAGTATGTAACACGCAGCAGCTATGATTCGCGGAGGGTACAATATGCACAGGGGTGTCCGAGCTCTATAAAAAATGTATAAAAAAATGTCATACATCTACTCGGAGAAAGACCTTATGACGGCTTACGTGTCGTTTGCCATAGACCAAGCACATTCTTCAAATTGATTGCTTTCCCGTCTCGTCGTGAACAGGTCAACCAGCTCGGCGTGTGGGCTGTCTACAACAAAATCAAAGCAGAGAGCCTCCAGTAATGCCTCCTCGGTTAGTAATATCGCTGTTTGGTAGGCTTCCAGCTCCTACAGACGCAATTATTAGCAATTGCGGCCGTAAATAGTCCTCTGCATACTTTGCTATCGTCAGCAATGTCAGCAATGTCAATTCTCGCAACCTTGGAATAGAAGACTTTAGCGACATCACGCAATTTCCTGCCACACTCTTCCGTTTTAGTGGCGAGGAAGATACATGATGCGGCGACATCCTGATAACGAGTATGTTATAATACTGGTCGGAAGATAATATTCTCCCACTCCCTTGTCGATGGTAGTCTTCCATGGAGAACCGCATATAGAATCTGTGGAACCACGTAGCAGCAGTGTACATGGCAGAGATAGGCCTGAAGAGGACGAATATAGCAACTGTTGAGAATGGCCCATCCGCGAGACCGGCGGAGACTCACAATTGTAGAGAAACGCCGAGACGGAACAGGAATTCGATCCCTCTTGCCCTGTCATATAGCTCTGTGTCCTGGCTAATCGAAGAAGTAGTGCGGCTGGGAGTATTTTGGAGAGCCGAAACGGGGAAAATCCACTGGGAGAGGCTGGGCGCAGTAGTAGTGGCACCCACGATGTATCCTTTACATTCGGGCATAGAATGAGCTGACATTTGGTTATGCTCCGAAAAACTGATTCGTTGCAAGTTGCTGCGGCAGTGAATAAGTAATCGTGAAAGTCTGGCAGACTCGAGTTGGCGTGGTCCAATCGCCCCGAACCTCCCGTTCACGGCGTCATTGCCGTTCGATCGGGCGTGCATCACGTGCACATGAACAGATGCCCAAAAACGGGCAGTAAGTTGAGGCAGGCGGAGTCCCTCAGCCGCCAACCCATTGGATGTAAATTTTTGATCAACGCCCAAGTTGCGCATATCAGAGTTTGCTACTAGTTAACATTTGCAAGCGGAGCTACAGTGCGAGTGGTCCGCTGATACATAATAGGTGCGCCTTTTACTTAACATTGAACAAATTTGATGTTGCGCTCCTACATGAGGCAGCCAATGCTTACGACTGTCCACGATTCTGGAACGGCGAGGGCGTTGGAAGGGGAATGTTCCGGTCTGCCGGTATTACGACATGCATGTCAAAAGTGGAATAAGTAATACTGCTGGTACTTATCGGCGCGAGACAAGGAACTTGCGCGGCCCCTGCATGCAGCGGTCTGTTCAAGCTCCTTTGGTTGGGACCCGCGTGAATGGCTGACTATGGACTATTTTGACATATTAACAGAGCATCCGACCGGGGATAATCGTCCAGTGCACCACGGATTTTCAATAGTACAAATGGGTATTTATCGATATCCGTGACCTCTGAAAATACGTGCACATCAATGACAGGTAAATTCATGCATAAATAACTTAATATCTGAGCCAGCCACTCTTCCATTGCCCATGTATACAGCTGTCATCCGCGGGAGATTTCATTCTAGCTCACTGGTCGTCATTACTCTTCCGTCTAGCCCTGCAATTTGTTCAATATCTCACTCCAACGGCGCGTGTCATTCAGGCCGAACAATAAGGCCATTCATATCTAACGATGTGTTCTCTGTTCCGTATGATACATTTTCAGTCTGTATGTAACTCATGGCCCATCCGCGATACCATCACTCATACTCGGTGTCAGATTGCAGACAGCCTGAGGATTCACTTGGCATGGGATGCATTCACTCGGGGGAAAACGTATTATGATCACGTCTCGTCAACACAGAGGACTAGTGACAAAATCCGTGTGATAGTTCCCTATGCAGTCAGATCGTTGCACGCTGAACGTCGAACAACAGTAATGCATTATGTTCGAAGCTGCTATCTTACAACCAACGCCTCTAAGTTTCCTTCAAGTCGGCTGCGCATAGGAGGAATATGACTGGGTCATTATTGATCGTAGTCGTCCCGTCTTTCCGTTGTATTGGAAGCGAGCCACTGACCCTCGCGTCTCTCCTCCGAGCTGAAATCGAGAACGGTCGATCCAGACGATTGGGTACAGTCAGAGAGTGTTGGGGATGGAGGTCGTAAGGGGCCATCTTCATAAGATGGATATACACCCTGGGCCCATGTCTTAATACGTGAATGAACCTTTACCCGACTACGTGTCGTTGCAAATGCGTTTGCCAGTGGGGTGCTAGTCTCCGCCACGTCGCCGACAAGGCACTTGTATACGATCGCCTCGTCCTCATCTACATCACTTGTGTTGTCACTGACGGAGAAGCGAGCTTGTTGCGAATCTTTCACCACCACAATAAATTAAACGCAAGGACGGGTACTCACCATTACTCCTTGCATCCCAATCTGACTCCGACGGTGCGATCTCCTCCATAACTGTATGGGATTCAGGAATCAGAATCCTGACTTCCATATTGATATTGTCAACAGGTTCTGGTACCTACATGGCAACGCGAAAGGGGTGAGAGCACAGTTCATGTTTTATGAAAGCATAAATAAAGCCTGAAGTGCTTTCCGATCCTTGGTATATTTGATGGGAAGTAATATGTCGCGAACCAGGCAAGGATATGCCACTGATCGGAATGGGGGCTCATCACTAACCTCAGGAATTCGCCAGCCGCCCGGCTTGTTCATTGCGGACCCAAGCCAGAATACCAATGATTCGAGGACAGTGGGAGCTTTAAAGTTTGCGGGAATTACTTCACTGACAAAGCCGACAGTCCATCCTAAGAGTATAATGCGTCAAAACCAATGATACCAGAACCATGAAAACCAACCTCTGGAAAACGCCCCGAATACCCAACCCCAGTAGGTAGTTATGACGAACCAGGGAGATTTTCTTCTGAAACATTCATCCCAAACCTAGTGATTGCACGAAAGGAACGGTTACAAGAGATGATCGGAAACAAGGCTAAGTGATTACCTTGGCCCACAGCCGCTGTTTGCAATCATAGCGAAATAACGGCGTCTCTGAGGAATCATGGACACGAGGGAACTGCCTATGCGTCAAAAACGATCAACAACGGAGAATCATGATGACAATACCGTCTGAGACTGCGTGAAAACTGCGAAATCTTTTGGGGACAGAATCCAAGGCGGTTGCACGAAGACAGCGACGGAAGGATGAGGAGTTTTGGTCGACAGCGGGGTAGCTGCATCAGTCCATGAAACTGAAAAGAAAATCTCTTGGTCTATCTCTTCGCGATTCTCGAAATCGAAAGTATAGTCGAAAGTATCGGGCCACATTTGGTGAACAATACACTGCGCAGTTTGCAACGGATATGTATACACCCATTGGTAGACACTGCACACAAAGTATGGATATCATGGGTACAAATAGGAAGACATGGGCACTCACTCTTTGACCCTTGCAGGTAATCTAACCGTAGGGGCTCCACCAGTAAAATGAGGGGGACAAGGAACGGTAACACTTTCGGCGTCATCGTTTTCATTTTGATCCAATGGATATGCAGGAACGTAAATATCCACGACTGTAGATCGTCAGTGCGACTCCTTGGGGCTGAGATGCAAAACAGCCTACATTCAATCACTTTCTCCGAGAGCGCACCCAATGGGAAAGTGTGTATTGTTTCCAATGAGCGATACGATTCAGGGGTAACCGCCAACAGGTTCAAATGAGACGAATGACCGGGTGGGGGTGGTGATGGCGCATTCCGACTGAGATTCATAGGTGGGAGGTATGCTTGAGAGATATACCATCTGAGGTTGTTAAATGGAGACGTGCTCAATAGAGCTCGCGCTTGCTCAATGACGTCTAGACGCATGATGAAGTCGAGAATGGTGGTGAGGAGTTGAAGTGAAGAACCAGCCACACAATGGAGTCCGTATATATATAGTCGCGGGGAGACGGGATTTCTCCATAGCAACAGCAGTTATCATAATCAAACAAGCAGAGCCACAGAGAAGGAACAAAGGAACGCGGGATGAAGGAAATGTGTGGCGGGGAGAACAAGACGCGACAAGGACGCCGAAAAAGGCCAGGCGCGAATCATCACGCGTCCGTGACAAGCGTGACATCATATGGGTTCATATTGAAGTGCGGATACAAGTGTAGTACAACGAACATAGCATATGTAATAGGTTATACAATAGCGTTATATCGTCGATTAATACGGCGCCAGCGCAATCCATAGTGTACTTCATAACGGCAGACGTCGATGGCCAAAGGCCATGCATGACTCTTGCCAGGAGTGCTCGGTTGCACATCTCATGTGCAGCTCATAGCACCCGTCCTCTCGCGCATTACACAATCCGCGCATTTCGTCTCGCTCATCCGAATGGGATTTCGCTGAGGACTCGTCATCATCCTCACACACGTCGATGACCTACACCCTGAGGATGACAGTGTCAGTGATGAACCGATGCAGCATCCGGAAGAAACGTACCTGTTGGGTGTATGTGCCTTCTGCTGAAGAGGCAGTTGGGGCGAAGACAGTCTTGTGTGCGAGTGTGCATGGGTATAAAGTGCTGGCATTCGAGATGGAATCTGCCATCAATAACCTAACGCTCTCCTCGGTTAGTCAAGTAACGCAAACAAGATCGTGTCAACCCACATTATGACACATTGTTAAGAAATACAGCGCAGACAGGCTCGACCTGGCGGGGTAAGGGTTATGGTATGGTACAGATCCAGGAGGACGAGACCGAGGCACATATATACATCTCGTCTGACAGAAAACGCGCATCATTCGTCGAGAAGCGTGACTCTTCGTCGCACTTTCCGTGTGGCATGTTGACCGCGTTCTCTATTAAATCGGATGGACCTTCAAGGCGAGGCTTGGGGCCACTGCAAGTCCATATGCGAAGGAAGGGACATACGGGACGCGGCACGATGTGTTTCGGAAAAGTCAATCATAAATGCTGAATAATTCGCCGAATCTTCCAAACTAGCCGCAGGCTAGACGCGTGAACTTGGTGTTCCGAGGTCATGATCTGTGGAGACGTTGGTGGCCAAACTAAGACATCTCCATACGGCGTCCAGAGCCTTGCGACTTTCAGGGCAACGGTTGTACAGGCTAGGCGTCGATGAGTTCCGTCAACGTCACTTACCCGTGCAGGTCGTCTGCATAGAGCGCTGACTCTATCAAGGGCATACTATCTCGAGTTGCCCATCGTGTCCAGCACGAGGCAGTAGGCGTGTTAGACGCGTGTCCGCCAAAGACGATAATTCCGGACCTGAGGACATGCGTTAAGAACGGCTTTAGCCTCTCCCATCTCGGACGGGAGTCACTGCGCATATCACATCAACCCCAATCGAAAGCAAGCGTACATTTCATAGCTTCCTTATGATCCTGCCGGCTTAGACGGGAGGTCACAGACCCCAAGAACAGAAAGGGAGCCCGACCTTATAGCAAGGGCGATGTTGCGGCTACGTGATACTGGGCGTATGAGCGATGCCTTCTTCACCGTCTATTTTCGATAGTGTAGGAAGCGAGCTTGAGGCGGCGCGTCTTGAATCCGTATCACTCAATACACGAGGGGTAACTCATATCACATTCAGCCAGTTAAGGCAAGCATAGACGGTACGAACAACGACGACACGAGTTGGAGGACAAATCATGAGCCACGAGCGCGAATTTCGTTCACAAGTTGAACCTTTTTCCTCACCTGTGGAGAAAGACGGTAACATGAAGCGAGTTGGAATGAAATAGCGGTCTTAAACGCACCTCATGCGCAAACCGTCTTCTCCAGCGCTCGCTCTTAAGACGCCGTCGTTTATCACCCTTCTTCTCGTGCCGCTCCGTCATTCTGAGTTCCTTGACCACTTTGTTGGTCGCAAGGACTCGCCGTAGTCTGCCAAAGGCGGCTCCGAGAGTACGTGAATGAAGCGATACGGTGCGACCTATAGGATACACAATGTAAAGCGATGCGGGCCGACGCTACGCAATAATGACATACCGGAATAAGTGTTGTGAGGTTTTGGAAGATTCCTTGCGATTACTTTCTCCCGTTCCTTCCAAACATTCTCCGCCTTCTCGGAGGTCAAGCTCGCATTCTTCCTCGCTTGCTCGAGAAGAAAAGCCCAAACTTTAGGACCTGATTCTTGATTGGGCCCTGGAGTTGTTAGAGGCTCTGGCTCGGTCGTATTGAGATTCCATTTTGGCTTTAGGACCGGGGCGTTATTTTTATGGAAATCAGACGATAGAGACCTGACTTGTCGGAAGGAGGTAGGTGTCGCGACCGTATGCGCAACGAACACTGTTTGCGCATACCGTCGGGCGAGAGTAGACAACATAAAAACAGACGCAGATACCGTATTTAGTGTTCCTAGTCCAGCGTCGTCACAGTCGCCTATAGGCGACACGTCGAAGTCGATATGATGAGCGAAGGGCTGCAAAAGGTCACGATTCGCGAGTAGTGACCGCAATTAACACCGGGCGCTTCGCCAAATCTCAATCGATGCGCGACGTTGGCCAATAAGTCAATAAGTAGCTTGTGCAAGATGTCGTCTGAAGTATTGTCCGAAGAGTTTGAGGTATTCCATACCTTTCGTTCACGTTCACGACGTCTGACATTCTCTCAAGGTACTTGAGGCCATCTATCCGACCGAGCTCACAAGTACGTTTCCGCCGCCATTGGCGAAGTCTTCTAGTCAAACTGAGACTCATACGAAGAATTATCGGAAAGGGCGATACGAATTGATGTTGAACCAGAAGATCCATTGGAGGGCGAGGATAATCGTGAGTCGTTCCGCATATTCAATCAGAGACAGGGCCTAAGCCAAGTCAAGTCAAACTCGCGCTCGAAGTGTATTACACAGATGACTACCCTGATGCGCTACCCGACTTCTCTCTAGACCCTACAGAAGGTGAACTGAATGAAATGGAAACCGAAGATATACTGGATGAATTGCGACGGGTGGTACGTTGTCTGGCCTCGCTTGTATTGCGTCTCATTTCGAAACGCTACATGCACGTTTAGGGAAGAGACAATCTAGGAATGGCCATGACATTTACCCTCGTCGCTCACCTCAGAGAGCAGCTATCTTCTCTGATCCGTGTAAGGGCTGAGCACAGAGAGCAGGAGGAGGCGGAGAAGGAGCGACTAGCCCTGGAGGTATGGTATGAGCTTATCAGAACCTTTCTAGTGCTCATAATGTAACTAGGCCGAAGAAGCTCGCACCCGTGGCACGCCCGTCACTGTTGAGAACTTCAGAACGTGGAAGTCTAAGTTTGACAAAGAAATGGCAATTAAAAGAGGGCGGGAAGAGGACGAGAGACTCAAGGGAATGACTCTAAAGGAACGGGAAGAGTATAAGAAGCTAGGGACTCGTCTTACAGGTACCGGGCCCCACCACATGGCCAGCTTGGCACTCGGCTCATGGATATACACTCTCAGGTCGACAGCTCTTTGAACGCGACAAGAATCTAGACATATCTGACGACAATTTGGTTGAGGAAGGCGCCGTTTCAGTGGACATAAGTCAATATGACAGATCGATGATAGACGAGGAAGAAGATGAGGCTCAAGTGACATTTAGCGACAGTGAATGACCTCTAATATACACGAACTTTTCCTTCCGATACGCATAACTGATCAATGTAGCACTGTCCATTCATCTGTATTAAATGCATTGTATCATTGTCGTCATGAACATCACAGTCCCGCTAACAGACCCCCTTCTCCTTCAACTCCGATAATATGCTCACTACCCTCAATCATTTGACACCCGATGCCTTCTCGCCCAGATTCCCGCAGAAACCCGTCGACGTCGATTATTGGTCTCACATCTTCATCACCCACAGCCAGATCTTCACCAGCCGCTCTTAACCATTCCAACACCGGTTTTCTGACCCACCGCCGAATTTGTCCTTCTCTAGATTGCTCGAACCACCCGAGGTGTCCACCCCTCTCGGTGATCGCAAACGCCACCCATGGACTTCCACCAGCCTCATAGGGCAGTACTTGTACAACAGGATCGTCTTCCGAGTTCAGAGCCAAAAATGGTACCCGAATATTGGCGAGTACTTCGTGGCTTGATCCCCAAGCGTAATAATCCCAAGCTGTTTCAAAGGGAAAGGGAGGAGAAGAACCTCCGGCGATACGAGTGATAGCACCATCAAACTGGGAAAGTGTTATCGACTTTGATTGCAAAACTTTGTTAAGAATCTGAGGCAGAGGATTCTCAACAAATGTCGCCAACGAGGATGCATGGCGCGCCGTCAGCCTTTGGAGATTGCGAGCCATCGCTTTCGAATAGATATTCCTGTGGAACCATTTATTCTCTAACCTGAAGGGAGGGCATTGTCAAAGTGACACAAATATCGCGATAAAAAGGCATACTGTTCTGCATTCTTTGTTAAGTCCCAAGGCTTGCATAAATCAATAAGCGGAAGGCCCAGTTTAGTGATGAATAAAACGCAACGTACGCAAGCAACAGCGCAGCCGGCGGCAAGGCGGCTGTGCTTACCCTCTTCTGCCAAATATCTCGTTAGAATATTTGCTCCCAGGGAAAAGCCGATTCCCAGTAGGCGAGCTTCTGGGTAGCGCTTTGCAATATATAATACAGCAACACGTATATCATCCGTATGGCCTGCGGAATAAAGCTGAGGACTCGTAACCGGTACACCAGCGCCTGGAGAAGCGGTTCAAATGAAGTCAAAGGATCTCGATGATATGCTTACAGCCTCGAGAGTTTACAACAATCCCTCGATATCCCAGGCCACCGTTTTCGACTGGTGTGCAAGCCGGTGCCAATACAGCGCGCACATATGATTCATGTGAGCCTATTGATCCTCATAAGCTTTCGTCAACTCAATTGAAGAAGCGAGCGAACCTCCTGTTAATCCATGTAGAACAATTAGAATCGGGGTATCATCGCGTAATATCCGTTCATTTGCCGGGGGAGTGACGTCTAATCCTCTGAGAAGTAGCCAATTTATGAGCATGCCGGACAAGGTCAAACTAGGTGCAACAGCATACATTGTACCGCCGTCTAGAGTGCGGAGAAACGTTCTGAGAAGACCAATAGACCCTCAGCAAGGACAAATGGCAAACGTAACGGCGACACAGCGAAATTACCTATCATACTCTACTTTATCTATCTTCGAAAAGTCGCCGACCACTGCATATGCAGTTTGGAGATGCCCACTGGTCTTGGAAGTCATTTCCGGAGCATATTCATGGAACACGACAGTAGAGCTCACTTGTACAACCACCATGGTGGGCGAAACTCAGCATAGAGGCTAGGGCATCGACTTTCAATAAATGTCTGCAACGTTTCCTTCCTGGTCTCCTCCGATCCTGATGAGACTCGTACAGTAAGTTCCGCAGAGGTTGTAGTGAAGTGTAATCTAGGATGGTAGTCGATTGCCGAAAACAAGCTGAAGATCAAGCCCATGGTATCCAAGTCCACAGGACGCGCTTGGAAAGCCACCGTTCAACGTCGACTGACAATGATGGCGCCAACCAATCCTTCCGAAATAGATTAGGGAGGAAACTTCTGATGAATTCAACATAGCCGACGGCAGGATTAAATGACAATCAATGATGATATAGTCGGGATGATCGAAAGTGCGACTGTCCCGCCCTGCTCCTCGGCCTGAATTTTGAGTTGATCTGACTCGGAAGCGAGCCACAGTCCTGCTTGTACGACGCCAGAAAGGATAAAGAGAGCTTATTGGGCTATTGTACATAGAATCTGCAGATACACTATAGACGCATGTATTCATTCGATCCAAGCAAGCACAACAGTCTCTTACGGTCTACAACTGTACATAACCCGAGCACTGGTTCATAAGACCTCAACGTCAGAATGGTGAATATCAGTCCCAAGCTTCTAACGCCCGCTTAGCGGATACGCTTAGAGGGGAGGGTTTGCCGTCAATCTCATTTCCGAGCTCCTCAATGAGCTCCCTCGTTGCCTCCTTCATCCTCGCGAGATCCTCTGTCCTGTCCTTTGCCACGACTCCCTTCCTGCATAGCTGTCCAAGCAGCGCACACACGTTGGCACGGACTTCCATGGGCATGGACTCTGCATTTCCGAGCACGAAAACAAGCATGTCCAACGCGCTGCGAGGGCCCACAACCGGGGAACCCTCCGTGGGTACGGCAGACACAGGCTGCGACTGGGAGGACCGTACGACTTCGCTCGGAAGGGGATTTAAAATTGCGTCCAGAACCAACGTGCCTGTAGGTGCGTGGAATCAGCATATGGCTGCACTGCATGATCGGTCCCATACCACCACTAGAATGCGTGCTCATCAAGGACAACGCGACCACACCCTCGTTGATCAACACGGGGTACTTCTTACTACGGCCAACAAGCTGTGCAAGGGCCGAGGCGCAATTTGTATTGACAATCAACCGTACGGCCGCTTCTCTCCTCTCCGTCTTGTCTGTACCGGCGGCCGGGTCACTCGCCCATAATGCTTTCACGATGTTAACGAGGACTCTCGTCCCCTCGCTCTTGACAGCGATGGAGTCTGATCGTCGGACGAGTGCCAGAATCTGATTCAGGGGCGAACCCAACGAACAGTCCGAGGGCGGTGACACCAGAGCAATTGCATTTTCGACTGTAGCATGTCATGCATTAGCGCAACTAGGCGGCCGCCAGCATTCGCAGCACTAACCGTTCCCGTTACACATGTGTTTAGCAACGCCGATCGCGGAGACTTGCACCATTTCCGCCATGTCTGCTTTGTCGCCCCACACTTGTGACGATGCCAGCCTTTGAATGATGCCAGCCTCACCGAGTGCAGCCCTGTTGCTCTGTGATTGTGCTAGATGCTTGAGAAGCCCCACTAGCCCATGCTTCACCTTGATATCAGTGTCCGGCTCAAGGAGAGTGGCAAGGTCAGGCCCAAGAGCAATTGGTGGCCGAATTAGTGCAGTAGCGTGAGCATCTTAAATGCGGAGAGCGAAACTAAATTCAGCAAGTTTCAATACTACGAACGTGGTGTAACGTGCCTCTGCGCGCAAGATTGCCTAAAGAAAGCGTTGCACAGATAATGAGGTCGTCGCGATTGGTTTCCTTGATGAGTTTATGTTTCCTTATCCACTGTACCATCGTATTCACAAATTCCCCTCCCGGCTTCTGCGGCTCTGAGTCGTCCCATAAAGTATCTGCGTTCTTCTCCTCACCTGCTACCTCCACAACCGCTTTCACAATGGCTGCCTTGCATATATCAAATGCTTTCTCCATTGAGGCACGTTCTCCTGCTGACTCGGTTGCCCAGTGTGGTGGATAATCGCCGTTGTCTATGAAAGTCAGCATACTAGATAGGCACGTCACACCATCATGCTCTCCGTCAGGAAATGTCAGTCCACGTGCAAGCGAGAGTCGGACGTCTTCCAAATCCAGACAAAGGGACTCTAGTAGACCACAGACTTCTTCCAATGATTCAAAATCCGCTAGAGCAAAAGTATGCCGTAACGACGGCGCAACAAACGACGTAGATGGTGGTAAATATGGAGGAACAAACGCTCGAAGGGGGCGGGTGAGGAATGGTAGAGCATCGGGCCCGAATAATGATCGTACTTGCTCTATTGACTTCTTTGAGCTCGCTATCTCAGCAATGGCAGGAAAGGATCTCACGGTTGTCTTCTTCGTCGTCTCTTAATTCTGAAATCGCTCTCCAGGCCCACGGTGACAATCCGCTCCGTAGAGTCCATGACTCAATGGCATGTTTATCGGACTCAGGAGTCACTACGTCATCAGGATGCTGCGCAACTAGCCATGACCCAGGAGGATACACCGTCATAGACAATTTCAAGATTGTGATGGCAGCCTCCAGGGAAATGAGACGAGTCTTGACAGGCTCTATAACATGCTGTGGATTCGGCTGGAGGCAAAATTGAAGGTGAACGCACCGTAACCGATACTGGCATTTAGAAGAAATCCAATACACGTTTTGACCACTTTGAGATCAGCGATTGACAAGGGGAGTGGGTCATAATGATTTGACTGGACGCCTTCTGCGTAGCCTTCTAACAAAGATACCACCGTTTGCGGAAAACCGGCATCCAATAGATACGAACGGTTCTCATCTATGTGGGTTCAGTGGGATAATTTGTCCGAAGACAATAAAGCGACAAAGTGTACTTGCCATGGTCCATGCATAGGTTTGCTGCCACTCGGAGGATTTCATAGATGGCGGGTTTGCATGCCGAATCGGGGACGGCCGCGCCGTTGATTGCAACCTTTAGTAGGGAGTTGAGAGTCTGAGGGAGGAGAGTCTTGCCCAGGGCAGTTTGCTGATCGACTGAGACCGTGGAGATATCTCATGAAAATGCATAAGCAAGAGAGCAGACGATACGAGTCTGACCGTCCTTTATGCGCAGATCATCAGCGAGGTGTTTGGCTGTGTCTTCAATCTCCTCCCATTGGTTCGGCTCGTTGAGACCGACTTGGGCGAGGAGGTCGCCCAGCTTGGAGGCGGAGGCATGTTTGGATGTGCCGCTGCTCATTGTAGCAGGCGATGAGCAGAAAGATGGAGTTCAAGAACAAAGAGCCAAAAAAACGAAGACAAGGTTCAGCGTTGGCTTGACCAACTACTGAATCGGTCGGACCCAGATCCAATCTCTTCCGCCTGCCATATCACGTGCATCCTGCAACTTCAAATTCAACAAGTCGTCTTCAAAGTCCTTCCAAGTTTCATCTCTTGTGGTACTTCGAGCCTCACTTGTGCCGCATAAAAAGCATCATCCACGATGAGTTGCTATAAATACGCGAAATACACCGGGTCTCGAATCAACTATTTCTTTTTCCCTCGGCAGTAACAGGTTCATTTCAGCCATCAGGGTTCTCTGCGACACTGCACAGGCGAACCACGGCACTCTGCATCGAGCGCACGGAAATTGATATGTTCCCGGTGTTCAATCATTGTTGAAACGCTGGCGCGCTTCAAACGTACGCCCTTGCTCCTGAAGTCTGTATCTCTAGAATCTGTATTCTAATTGCTTCTCGATGTCGTCCAGCACGTGATATGGTGCAAGTCTTTGCACATATTGCAACTAGCTCGGAACTACCTTGGGTGCCTGATTTTTGCTCTTATCGTGCCAAGATTGCCCTCGGGCATTAGCAATGGGTGGATAAAAGCATAGTGCCGAAGCTTCCTGGCTTCTATTCCCCGGAGCCCTTCTCTGGTCTCGCCACCTGCCTTACTACGAACGCCTAACATGTCGAGCCTTGATGACGAAAAGCACTTGGACTCGGAAAGCGATGTCGTCCGTGGAAAGACGCACATCAATGAAGCATTGGTGGCGGACGAAGATCGAGAGCATAGCCTACACCGCGAGCTCTCTGCCCGTCAGATATCCATGATCGCAGTGAGTGTGAGCCGATTCATCGGAGCCTGCAGTGCCAATCCGGGGCGAATTAAGCTGCTCATCATTGCAGCTTGGAGGCGCGATCGGTACAGGCTTAATTATTGGTTCCGGTACAGCGCTGGTCAGAGGTGGACCACTTGGAATCTTTCTCGGCTATCTTTTCGTCGGATTCGTCTGCTACTTGGTCATGGTTGCCTTGGGCGAGATGTGCGCGTATCTTCCTCACAAAAAGGGGTTTTCAGGTTATGCTACACGTTTCGTTGACCCTGCTTTCGGGTTTGCTCTCGGCTGGAATTATGTACTCAAGTAAGTTCCTCGCTGATTTTATCACATTGTTCCTACGTTGAGACCATGTAGGTATTTGATTGTTGCGCCAAATAACATCAACGCAGCGGGTGTTGTTGTGCAATACTGGACGACGAAAGTAAACCTCGGTGTATGGATGGGTGCGTCTTCTTCTGTATAACGATTAATTAGCAAGATTAATCATACGCAATAGCCGTCTTCATCGTATTTGGTAAGCATTGTCGGTGCATACAGCAAGTTTCTTCCACTCATATTAGGGCAGCGTTTACTGTGAATCTCCTCGGTGTGCGTGTCTTCGGAGAACTAGAATTCTGGTTCAGCAGCCTCAAGATTATCACTTTGATCGGACTACTGCTTATGGGCATCATCATCGACCTTGGTGGGAATCCACAACATGATCGCATTGGCTTCCGATACTGGGATCACCCATATGGCCCCATGGGAACATATCTTCTTTCCCGCGTCCATAATGACCACTTGGCAACATTCCTCGGTTTTTGGAGCACGCTTATTAATGCCCTTTTCGCTTATATTGGCACGGAGGTCGTGGGTGTGACAGTTGGTGAAGCTCGAGCACCAAGGAAGAACATCCCAATAGCCATTCGACAGACCTTTGTCCGAATCGTCGTCTTTTACATTGGAGGCGTGTTTGTGATCAGTCTTACTGTACCGAGCACGAACGAGGTGCGTTCGTGCTTAATGTTCAACGCCACAGAATGCACAAACGATGTGTTTCACTAGGATCTATTTGTCGCCAATTCATCTAAGGCGGGCGCCGCTGCCTCGCCTTTCGTGGTCGGTGAGTTAGCTGGTTCTCTTCGCTGTATGAGATGACTCAATGTTGGCCACTTCGTATCGCAGCAACGACTCTTGCCGGAATAAAGGTTCTGAACCAAATCATCAACGCGTGCATATTGATTTTCGTTCTCAGCGCTGCTAACTCGGACCTCTACATCGGTTCAAGAACACTCTACGGTCTCGCCGTGCAGGGTCAAGCACCACGGATTTTTGCGCGGGTGAACCGAATGGGTGTGCCGTATCCTGCCCTCATACTATGTGCCGCGTTCTGTGCATTAGCGTTCCTGAATGTGTCAGAAGGAAGCTCTAAAGGTACGGCACCTTCACTCACGGCGGAGACGAGCTGCACAGATTAATTTGGAGCTACTAGTCTTTGGCTGGTTCGTGAATCTTGTATCGACATTTGGAGCAATCACATGGATGTGTATTTGTTATACGCACATGTAAGTCACTGAATGGTGATTCATGGAATGTGCTAATCGAGCTGTTAGTCGGTTCATGAAAGCGTTGAAGGTGCAAGGAATGTCTAGAGATCAACTACCATACAAGGCGCCGTTCCAGCCGTTTGGATCATGGTTTGCACTCGTTTCAACCGGAATCATCACACTTTTCAAAGGTTCATTTCTCTGCAATTGAGGACGAGCTGCGATCTGACTTTATTGGGACACCAATGCGTGATTTTAGGATTCGATGATTTCATTCCGTTTGTGACGAGCAGTTTCGTAACGGCGTATATCGGGATTCCTGCTTTCGGTCTCTTCTGGATTGGGTACAAAGTGTGGTACCGCACGAGCGTGATTCCGCTTGCGCAAGTGGATTTGATGACTGGCCAGAGAGAAATTGACGAGGACGAGGAGCGATACGAGGAGATGCAGCGGGCGGAGGGCCCGCGGACGATTTTGCAGAAGATATGGGATGCAATGTAGACGAGACGTGTAACTTTGCCTTTGCTCAGAATGCATCCGCCATCGCGGTGACTGTTGACGCGGTTGTCATTGCGGCGGCGTAAGCTGGACGGGAGAGGGATTTCTCTCTCAGCACGTGGCCCCGAACGCGGTCTTGACGCGGAGGGGTGCGCCCATCGTGCCCGACATGGCAAGCAGCTGACTGATTGTCTCCTCCTCAACGCATTTTCTCTTTTTAACCCGGCTTGCGGCTCTGCCGCCCATCATGTCGTAGAATGTATAAATTCCTCAGCCTTGCGATCCTCGTCCTCGCAGCTGCTTACCATCTCATCACTTCGCACCTGTTCACCGATCTGCGCAGTACTAATCTATCGACCTCTCTACCATCCTCGGACGATCCTCTCCGCTTGAAAATGGCCTTTTCATCCGCGTCTAGACGTGTTGTGAAGAAGGTCTTGGCGATTGAGACACCAGAGGTACGGTGCACACGCCTGCTCTGGAATGAGCTCGATACCGAACGAGATGTACGCAGGGCGAGGGCGCGTTGGTGCGCCGCTCCATTGGGAGCCAGAAGCTTCGCAACCTCACGCCGTTCCTCATGCTCGATCATTTTCATGTCTCCAAAGGCGCCGTAGGTCTTTCCCCTTATCGCCTGCGACCGGTGACCGTCATGTTGTTTTCAGGGCTTCCCAGACCACCCGCATCGCGGTCAAGCTACCGTGACTTACATGATGGAAGGGTAGGTCCTTCCCTCACTGGACTGTAAAGTACGAGCTCATCCTCTTGGCTTCCAGGTCAAGTCAGCATGAGGATTCCGCCGGACATAAGGGCACGATTGAGGCTGGAGGCGTGCAGTGGATGTGCGCCGTGAGTCTACTCCACTAGTTCTCATGGAGATTGGCCTGACCGAATCTTGCTCAAGGGCCGAGGCAGTGAGTAGCGTGATCTCATGTGAATCCAGACTTACTGAACTATGCTGGGCAGTCATCCACGCAGAGATGCCTGTACACGAGCGCGGCCAACCAGACCCCCGTGGCCTTCAGCTGTGGGTTGATCTACCGCAACAATACAAGATGGTGGAACCATCATACCAGGAGCTGGGCCCGAATGAGTGTGTTTCATCTTCCCCATGCCGGCAGCAGGGACTGATCGCCCTGCAGGATTCCGACCGCGTTCCCCGAAGGGCCAGACGGCCCTGTGAAGATCAAGGTGATCAGCGGGAAGACCTACGGAGTCGAATCTCCAGTCCGTCCTCTCGGTGGATGCTGGTACTTCCATGTCATCTTTGACAAGAAGGATCATACGATTTTTCAGGAAATCCGTTAGTAGTTTTCATGTATCTCATCGGTGTTACAGGCATTGTTCACGTAACCCAATTGACACTACAGCGTCCGGATGGACATCATTCATCTATAGTGAGCACTGAACGGCGTTCAAAGCCACCAGCTATTCACATTGTGTTCCGCAGCGCTCAAGGGTTCCGTACGGGTTGGTGAGGATCCAGCCGGCCATGAAGCGTTTCATACTCTTGTCCTTTCGAGTGAGTCCGCTGAGGGTGGTGTTAAGGTCGCGTCAGCCGAAGACAACACCGAGGCAGTGCTCGTACGTGATTTCCGTGTGTTGATATGTACTCCTTACACAACGATTGGCGACCGTTAGATTGCGGGTGAACCGTTAGATCAGACTGTTTTCCAGTACGGACCATTCGTCATGACGTCCAAGGAAGAAATTCAATCGACCCTGATGGACTGTAAGTGTCCAAGTATCTCACGGCAGGATAATTCTCATTCTTGCTCTTCGTCAGATCAACTCGGAAGGAACGGCTTCGAGAAGGCACATTCATGGAAGAGTGTGATTGGTGGCCGATGAACGACCTCTACAATATATTATGCATGTGCGAAGATCTGTCATACATTCCCGAACTGTCTCAAATATATATCATGATAAATAATTGCGTGTCCGATGCTTCCAGGCGTGCAGTTGCGTCTCTTGATTAGTCCGGCCGTTCATCAATTGGGTCTTTAGACCGAGATATATCTGACAGGGGGCGCGAACGTAGTTGAATGCCCCGAAGTTCTTGCCACAATGTGCTCCTCCCAATATCGCCAGCTGAGGCTGTGGAACCAAAAGCGCCGGTCCGAGAGGGATTTTTGTTTCGAGTGTGGAGACCAAGAGAAGATTGCGAATTTGTAGGGCTTGCTGGGCGGGTGGTACTCCCACCTCGAGTGGACAGCTTCGGACGTTCAGGTGACACTGATCTTCGGTTAAGCAGGCTGGCAATACCACCCCTTGCCAGATGAGTCCGAGACAAAGCCGGAGCACTTCGCGCAGACGTGGCAGGCTCCGTGGGACTAGGGGAACGAACCGGCCGTGAAAGAAACAAAGGTCGGACTGTTTGTTGCGTAGGACGACTATGGTCAAGGACCTGACGTGGAGCAGCGGTGGGGAGGCGAAGATATCTTGCACGACTAGCTCGACGTTGTAAGCGATATACGTATCTCTTAGTAACAGAGTTGCTTACGCGACCGCTTTCAACTCGATCTTGGTCTTGTACGCCTTCTGCCATTTGTTGAAGACCCTAGCTGCAGCAAAATGTCAGCTCTCCCAGTCATCTAACAAAGCGGAGAAAAACATACATATCACAGACTGGCGATTGAATTCGCGCGCCCGTTTGGCCCGTAGTGCCCTAGGCATAGTATTTCTCCATATCTGCCATGCTTTGAGTTTGGCGTGATAAGCATGAAAGCGGACAGCGGGCAATGACTGATTTCCCAAGTGATTAGGTAATGGTGGATTCTTCCAAATTCCTGTACTTACTCTAGTCTTGGAGTGCCAGATTCCAAATGCACGGAACATGAGATTCTTCTGCCTTTGCGCTAGGAAACCATCCGCCTACGAAGAACATTAGATTAATGGGTTGGTTTAAGCATAGAGCCAATTTACCAATGGTTGTAATCTGATATCTTGGAATCGTTCCCTCCACTTGTCCCATGCAGCGGCAGCAAATGTCAGCTTGAGCTCATCTTCTTTTTGTTGCAAATACAACCGCCTGTGCCTAGCATGACGTGCAGCCGTAAGCCAACGATAGAACATCCGACGCATGTTCTCTGTAACAAAAATATTAATACTAAGACAACGCTCATGAGATAGTCGGTAACGCACCTTCTCGTTTGACATCCTGGTAGCTCTCCATCAAGCTCAATTCCTCCACATGACGTATGCACAAAGCCTTCCATTTCTTGAAAGCAGAGCTAGAGCATCGTCGAGGGTCAGCTCCCAAGGATCAAGTGGACGGGCACACACCTCAGAATTTTTCCATCTTTCTTCTGAGATACTTGAAGCTCTCGGTCTTTGATGTCAACGACACGATTGGTCCAATAAGTTAATGCATTTGTCATGATGCGCTTGGAGTACTATGTTAGTTTGACCCAGACCCGCAAGATCGCAGGAGAACAAACCATGTTGACGCGTTGCTGAATGATTTCAGCGGCTACCTTGCGTCGTCGTTGCTGCTCAGCCAATTGGAGCCACTCTGTGTTATGCTCAAACTACTGCAGACACGGATAGTAAGACACCAAACATACCCAAGAAATACTGCTGGATGAGTCTAGTTTCAAAGCCCTGCAATTTCGATCCTAGCTGCTTCTGCTTGAGGGCCATGCGCCATTTGTTCGAAAACCTTTTCTGTACGAAGAGTTTTTGAGCTATCTTTGCCTGTTTAGCCAATCTCAACTTCGTCCGTAACTGAAGACGCCACGTGAGGAGCATTTTGTACTGCAGCTGAGCAGAGTGATAATGAATGGCAAACGATTGCGCATTTCGATGGGATACAAAGACTTCATGCCAACTCTGCAGAGAAGAGGTAAGCGTTGAAGAGGACCGCATGGAAAATGCAAGCGCGAGATCTAATTCACACAAACCATTAGACTCCCCTCTGGATTTAAGTATTCCTAACACACCTTCAAGGCCTTTTTGGTTCCGTATTCGTCGTTTCCATATTGCCCAGGCTTGCTTCAATAGCCGAGTAGTTCTGACTCGTTCAAGTAGGCGCCCGCGCTCATGAGCCTTCCACACTCGAAGAACGGCTCGTGTCAATACGTCATCTTGACGAGCAACGTGTTTCGAGGCTCGACGTTCAAGGGCCTGGATGATATGTCACAGTTAATAGGAGGAAACAACATGATGAGTCGCCTACTCTTATTCGATCCCGCGCTGCCTTCCATGACTTGAGTGCACTTTTGAGCACAGCAATGTCGTAAAATTCGTCCGCTACACGATGTTGTTGTCTACATAATGAGTATCAGTCGAGGAAACATTCTTAAATAGAGATGAGAGGCTTACAGGCGATTTCTCCAAACATCCACCGCCTGTCCGACGATCCTAAGAGACACCTGCTGTGTCATGGCCTTCTCCATCTTCCGTAAGTCGACACCCCGGCGCCACACATCCCAACATTTCTCAATATACCTTTCCTCACAGCTGTATATGAAATGTTCTGCGGCTGCATCAAGCTCGTCTAGTTGCATGAGTCGCTTCTTCCAGTGACCAAAGAAGCGTATTGCAAGCCTCTCCGAATAATGTTGTTCAGAAAGGTGCGATCGGAATGACTGCCTCCACTTCGCCCACGCGTCCTTCATCAATTTCGCTTCTCTACGCTCCCGCACAGTCTTCATGCGTGCTCGCATCGAGTCACGCCAATCAGCTTGCTTCTTCTCCTTGTATTTATCCTTCCACAAATTAAGCGCGAATTTTAAGCGGCGGGTATTATCGAGCACAGATACTTTCTGGTGTAATTCACGGTTGGTAGTGCAACGATGACGCCAGCGACTGAAAGCCAGACGCAGGATTAACGTGTCACGGGCTTGAGAAATCTGCTCATTGGTCGTCTGATAATTATCTGACACTTCAGTGCACATGAATACCTAGAAGTAAGCTGACATACAATGATCCACTGATATCCCTGTTTCCAAACTTCCCAGCAGCGCTCTACTAGTCGTTCCTCACGAAAACGATCAGCTTCTTTGATGTCTTGTGCTTCTCTTATCTTCAGCCATGCGTCATCTTCGTTTATGACGCTCTTCCTGCGTTCCTCAGTCCGAATAGTTTCTTGCCTTGGAGTTGTAAGTCGTGATATGGGAGAAGGAGACACGGCTCTACCGGGGGCGATTTTGGACTGTGGTCGCGGCGTACCAAAACCCCCGTACCTAAAAGATGCTGACTCACGGACAGCGGCGCCATACGATGGAGGAATTGTAGAAGAGGATACCGCAGTCATACCCGTAACTTCTGATGCGTTATCGTTCCAGAGGGGTGGCCGAATGGAAGAACTACGTGGAGCATGCCTTGCGTTCGACTGCATCGATGGAAATTCCATTTGGAGGCCAAGAGAATTGGGAGCCGTAGGCGTAAATGATGGTGAAGATGGTCGATGGACAGGACGTGGAGTGTCTAGGTAAGACGGAATCGTTATAGCACTCGCTGACACAGGTTCAGCTAATACAGAGTCAATATCGTCAAGATGAGAATGAAGTGTCAGAGTATCCTCTGGCTTATCCTTCTTAAGGCCAGTGCTTAGACGCGTTGCAATCCTGCTAGATGCAGGAGTTGTTCGAGCAACCCGAGTAGTTCGTCCGCTACCTCCTCCTGAGCTTGGTCCATAGCCCTCCTGTCTCTTGATAGCCTCCCATTTTTCGCCCCAGTTTTTGCCACGCAATGTTCCAAGTTTCAGGAGCTTGCCATAATATACCACTTCGTTTTGGGGGTCCAGCCCGCGTTCTTGCAGAATATCGTTATATGCTTTGAAAACAGTCAAGAAGGTGGTAGCGGTCGCAGGAGCCCGTTCAATGACAGCATCGATAAAATCGACTTCTTCGGACGTGAGACCAGTAAGTTCTGGGACAGATACTGTGGAAGATCGTGATTCGTTAAGGAGATCATGAGCGAGGACCACAGCAGGAACGGCAGGAGCATGTTTCAAAGGAGGCGACGCGCGCGCAGGCCGGAAGCGGGACATTTCATACCAGCCTTTTCGATGTGAGATAAACCAGAGAAAAGGCTCGACGAGCGTGCTCGGTTCAACGACGTGTCACTGGAACGCGCGACGCGTTGGACACGTGCCACGCGACAGCCAATGGCAAACGAGCATGGCCAGTGCACCTGCCAAGGCATAAATGCTGACACAATGGGACGTGGCCTCCACAGGATCCGGCGGCGAAACACGGTAGCTTGAACCAAGCTTCAAGCATGAGCACTATGTGGCTTCATAAAAAGCCTGTACCGAATGGATGCTTCCTGCCATCGCGCTGCCACGAGTCTCTTAGAGCTCGGGTAAAATAAATCCGTGCCCCGACACCGATACGATGTACGTACATAGAGTACTTACATCCTACATATCCTACATAGTTCCATACGATAATACAGCGCTCCCCTGGAGGTACGCGTGCAAGCTATTCAAACTATAATCATCTCAGAAACACACGCGGAGAGCTGCCGACAGCTGTGATTCCACAGGGCAGTACGGACACTTCACCCGTCTACAGAGTAATCAGCCCAATTCACATGTAAGTGACTCTAGACTGACCCTCCCGGTTTACTAAGCTTGGTCAAGCTTTCTTTAGTGATTACATGACCACAGCTCATCATCATGGGTGGATTATGTTCCGTCGACTGCTCCTTAGAGACCGGACACACGAAGATGGAATGATATCGATTCTCTGGCGGCAATGATATCTCAATCTGAAAGCGTGTTAGACTATACCAGGAGCATAATAGTGAGGACTCAACTGGTAGTTCATCAGCTAGACTCCATTCGCTCTTGCTCTCGCGCATTACTTTCCGGCCCTTCTCTATGCGGGCTAGCGCACCACCGCCTCCAAGATCGCCAATCACCCTTAAAGGAACTTGCCTGCTCATTCCTAAGCTCGCACAGTATTCAGTAGCGAACATTGGCTCTAGGTCAAGGTGCAGGGATGAGGAAGCGAGATCCGCATAAGGGGACGTGTGTAACCGGCGGTGATATACCATACATGCCATGAGTCGCCCAATTTCCGCGCCATGCTGAGAGTAGTACGAGGGAAATTCGGTCATGGCGTAGGAACGTGCAGCAGACACATCTGAGGGAGAAGATAACAGCAAACGGACATATTGTGAACGATGAAGGAGAAACTCGAGAGGCGACAATCGGCTGTCCAAAAATTTTCGATTCCGGCTTGTCCACCTATAAAATATATCATCAGCGTGGAATCCATGACGACAGAGTGTGTACGGTTATTACACACGCTAGAGCAGGTTCGATATCATGTGCTCTGAGAGCGCTGATAATGCGGTCCAGTTCGATGAAGTGCGTGCGCATATTAGGGTCGATGCTTGCGCTTGATTCCTAATCCATCTACCATGAACACTCAGATCAAAGAGACAGGGTAGCTTCGTCTTACCTCGATAAACGTTTCAGCGGTGTGAAACTGACCTATACGGAGGAAGTGAAGTGCAATAGTATGCTCTAAGGCAGCATGAGCTTCTGGAGACGAAAACAATGGGTCGTAGGAAGGAAGTTGCGCAGAGAATTTCTGAGATCACGTAGTTTAGGATTACTTGGTGAACAAGACAGCACCATACACACCTTATCCAACGCTTTGCCAACCTTCCCTAAAGTGTTATAAATTTCTTTCTGTCTATCCTCTACCTCTTTCTTCTTGTTATCCGCTGTCTTCGCTAAGATGTTGAATGTCTCATCTGTAGCAGTTCCCGCTTGAAGTCGATCCTTCACTTCACGGAGCGAATATAATAGGGAATCCAAGGAGTCATCAATGCTGGGTGACTTTCCCTTAGACGAGCCACCGGAGACCAGTTTCTCTAGTTTTGCGAGCTCCTTCAAGGCCGCGTCCATATTGAGAGATCTCTGGCCAGATTCCGTGTCGGGGTCAAACGACTGTCGGTGTGCAGCGTGGTCAGTGTCCGAGTCAAGCGGGTCCAGTCTCAGGACCAAGGTCGCATACAAGAAGCGCTCGTGTGCGCAGATCTCCGATCTTAATTTTTGCCACAGCTAGTAATGACCAGATTCTCTACCAACGTCTATCATGCGTCGATTCTTCTGCGGCGACGAGCTGGGGACTTTGAAGTCTGTTACATTTACGCCGGGTGAAGATCCAAAGGAATGGAAGGCAGATACCTTCGTACTTGTTGAGGGTAGTTCTGAAGGAAAATCAAGAGGCATACAGAAATTGGCCGTATCTCCAGCTGACTCAGGAATCTTGGTGAATCCTCTGCTATACCGCTAGGTACCTCTGTTACATCCCTATTGACAATGCAGTATTGAGTTGGCTTCCGCGTGTGCTGATGGTTCAGCCTCCTTGCTCAAAATAAACGACGACGCCGGTCCAAGCATCACGCATGAATGGAAAGAAACACGGCTTAAAACTGGACAGAGTTATATAGGATTAGATATGGCCACCCAAAGGTAAATCTATGGCGTACATCCTGAGTGCCTGCGAACGTTGATAATTGGTTCTCAATCAGACGGATTCTTTCATGTACCACCAATGGTGCTCTCCGTTTAACCCAGCTTAATGAAGATGACAGTGCACATAGCACGGAACTTGCCTCTCTTCCCATGAGACTGACCAATTGGCGCTTATCTCCGGGAGGAGAGACCTTTGCGTACGGCGGAGATGAGGTAGAGTTATCTGTTTGGAATACCGAGGCAGCGTTCGCGAAACGACCAGAAGACAAGTTAAGCAACGAAACGAAAAAACGGAAACGAGGAGACCAACTGCTCCCAGGAGAAATTTGGCGAGCGAAAAATGTGGGTTCCCTGGCAAGTACTAGGTTATCATTTACACTCAACATCCATTACTCCTAGGTTCCCCACGATGGCCTGAGTTTACGCCAACCCGTCAAGAATACCTCACTTGCATACCTCCAACCAGCAGGCTCGACATCTCATTGCCACATCTTGGCTGGGACTCAGCAAGGAAATGTGCGCAGATACGACACACGTGCCGCTCGTCGGCCAGTGGCAGATTGGAAGGGTATCGCAAAAATTGGCGGTATCAGCACTATTGAAAAAGGTCATGATGAGCAGTACGTGCAAGCCCCGACCCGCGCCCTGCATGAAAAAACTAATTAGTACCCACAGCGAAGCTTTCGTGGCGGACCATGGCTGTAACTTATTTGCATTAGATTTGCGCAATGGTCGTGTTTCCTACGGATATAGAGGTATCCTCAATGCATCTTATGATTAACTATCGCTAAACTATGTACGCTATGATAGGCCTTGCAGGTTCAGTGATGTCCATGGCTCCCTCTCCCTCCTTCCTTGCTTCAGTATCCCAAGATCGCTTTCTACGCCTACACAGTACATTCCCACCCCCGGCGCAGGCTGGTTCGCAGCAAGAGCAAAAAGGGAATGTCGTGGATAAGCAATTTATGAAGACCAATCCCACCGTGATTGTTTGGGACCAGTTTACCGGTCACCTAGGCGATGCGCGAGTGGATAGTGATACGGAGGACGGCGCTGACGATGCTGTTTGGGACGCGATGCAAAATGTTGAAGATGTGGACGAGGAGGAGGAAGGCGGACAGAAACGCAAGAGAGGCAGGAAGCCGAGCCACCTAGTACCATGACAGTCAGTTATACACCTTCTCCCTTGGAGAGCCATAGCGCCAGTTACATGGCACTTCGACGTGAATGAGAACTTGCTTGAATACTGCTCAGGTGGATTCTCGCTCTAAGAATTCCTATAATATTGCCACCCCACCCAGTTTGCGATCACGAAATATGCAGTAGTCGGTACGAGCAGCACGAAAAAGTATTTGTAGTGCGTGTCATCAGCGAGCATAGCCAGTATCTACATGTCCGACGCCAATATTCGTGAAGGTTTCACTCAACGGTCATTCATACGACTCACCCATATACTGCTGTATTGGTGAAAGGCACAGAACAACGTCGCATAACTCCCTATCACAAGGAATATGGAGGCAGAGGCAAGTATACAGTAACCTGTCCGCAGTGAAGGGGCCTTTGCACTGTTGCGACTACCGAATATTCAGTGCATATGTCACTAGGTAGCTCCACTTGACTAAAACTTACGGCCGTATGTCTGACATGGCTCGTTTTTATATTCTCTAGTACCTGGCCGGCGATGATCTCAAGAGGGTGCTGTTCACCGTTGACACTCAGTCATAAGTGCGTCATCCTGGTCAATACGTTCAGTGTGGTTGCGCCAGCGTGTAGGAGAAGTAGTACATGCAGTCTTAGGCGTTACATATGTACATAGTGTTATCATGATAATTTGTGCTTGTTACGGTGTGTTGCACTGTGCCACCGTGAGACGTGAGAAGGCTACAAAACCTATCCCGGGCTCTGCCAGTTGTGCCTACAGAATGACATACAGACACTAGCAACCATATTTTCACATACTGCACACACTGCTCAAAAGCTCACAAGTGGAATGTTTATAGGCAATTACACCAAATTGATCTACGAATAACGACACTGGCACGCCCAAATAAGCCAATAGCACTAACGTACAGCCAATCAATAGAATGTCTACGATATATCGAGAAACGAGAGGACGAAACGAGAAAATCGAGAAAATCCGAGATGAGACAGAAACCGGTATAGTGGCCGCATGTCGCGTGCCAACAAGTAGTGGGGGATGTACAGTATCTGATGGCAAACTGAGAAACGGTGGTGCGGCAAAAATACAAGTGGAGGATTTCAACTACTAGATTGAGCAGACCTGTGGGGGCTTGATAGACCATGAGTGAGCATGCAACGTGACACATGGAACAAACAAGCAGTGTCCACTACAGTCCAGGTGTCCTTTTAGATAGGCGCTAGGAGGATGTCTCGATGTCTACCTCATCTGGAGTAGGCAAAGGCAGAGGCACCGTGGATGGAGACAAAGCAATTGCTACCGGAAGAGACGGAGACGGGGAGAGAGAGAGAGGACCCAAAAGGCCCGTGAAGGCGGTATCGTACGATGGATGGCGCTGGAACGGGTTCCGCGTCTGAGTGCGGGAGACAGGAGAAGCTATATAACATGCACAACAATCAAATTCGCAAAATGATGATGTACGTCAGCGACGGCTCGGACTATGACTTAAGCTTGAAATAAAACGAACCGAGAGGACCGCCAATGAATTTGAATGGATAGGCAGGAGTTGTGCTTTCCTTCCTTATCTCGTCAGCGGGATCAGCAAGAGACAGCCCAAGTCCTTCAGCCTGGTGAGATGGACTTAGACTGCACGGAGTGGCCCGACGATAGAAGAATGAATGGGGAGCGTTGGCATTAGTTGAGCGGAGAATAGGAGATGTTGGCGGGAATCGCAGAGTAGACGATTGTAGGATCGATAGGAACTCCTCAAGCGCCTCGGGTGAGAGACCGGAGCTGTATGAACGGCAATTAATCAATGACATGCTCGCGCAGATTCAATAAAATCGACCATCGACAGATGATATATGATCGTCGGAGCGATTCAAAAAGACAGACATACCGAGGAGAAGCGCGGGGAGACACATGCTCTCGTTCGGAAAGAGGCTCAGGGGGCTTGAGATCCTCTTGTGGAACGTCCTCTCCCAGCTTGATGCGGTCGACGCCGTCCGCAACGAGGCGTACACCGGCGACGCGGGTCTGGGGGCGTTGGATAGCGTTCTGAAAGTGGGTGTAAGGAGTGGGACCACTGGGATTAGCCAGTCGCACAGGGCGGGGGGCCACGAGGACGAAATTGTCGTGAGCAGTATTATAGTTCATTGTTACGGGCTTTGTTATACAGGGGTATGTTGGGCAACACAGAGCACGTTGGATGCGCGTTCAGGTAGAAGGCGAGAGACTAGAGTCAAAGACAGCCGCTTGTCGAGTGGCACGCGGTGTTTGGCGCTATTTTCCAGCCAATCGCAGGGCGACCATGTGAATCCAGACCGATCGAGTCCACATGCCGACGTCCCTTGGCGCTTGGTCTCGGCGGCTGCATTCTCCCTCCGAGTCCACCGCGGTCTCAGCAGCCAGACGGGCTACCGTGAGCTCGTCGGTGCGGGGAACAACAAGGCGTGGGCGTGAGTACGCACAATCCTACAGCGATGCTCGTCCAGGGTACAATGTATCACAACGACTATGGCTTACACGTAAACAACTGGGATGCCGCTTCCAGCCATCAAATTCCCCAATACCGTATCTTAAAACGTCAGAGAACAGTCATCTATAATAAAGTGTCCGGCGTCCTCTCCCATGCAGCTCCCTCCTTCTCAGCGTACCCCTCCCTGGTCCTCGTCAACCGACCATGGCTGGACCTCACGCTGCGACTGCGTCCAACGAGCCCGCTCAAAACAATGCGGCACGCCGCCTCTTTGACGATCACGAACTCCACGACATCGGGAGCAGCCAAAGTGCCCTCGAGGAGCAGAAGTTTGACATAGATGATCGTCCGCAGAGAGTCACCCCTCTCCCAAAAGCACAGCTCGCCACCCTCTGTGCTATTCGCCTCATCGACCCAATTGCCTTTACCCAAATCTTTCCCTATGTGAACGAGATGATGGATCGACTCCATCTCACCAACGATTCCTCAAAGATCGGTTTTTACAGTGGTTTGGTGGTGAGCATCGCCTGGTTGCTCTCTGCCTGCGCTGGTCAGTCTCATGCTCAGCTGTCCGATATGTTGTAGGAGAGCAGTTTCGCTGTCTCGCAGCTATTTTTCATCTATCACTGGGCGCGCGTGTCTGGTAGGTCCGATTTAATTCCACGCCATTGAGCATCCGTTCACGCCAGCTGCAGATGCCATAGGTCGACGACCGGTCATTCTGGCCGGTATTGTGGGCATCGGCCTTGCCACCATCATGTTGGGGTTGGCTCATAGTTTGGGCGGGGTCCTTCTTGCTCGGGGTGTCGGTACGTTATTTCTCATGTGGTTGTCCTCGCACTTATTTTGGTCATGATTATAGCCGGCATCTTCTCCGGGAACATTGCCGTTATTCATTCCGTACTGGGTGAACTTACTGATAGTACCAATCAAGCGATTGCATTTCCAATCTACGGGCTATTTTGGCCATTAGGCGCAATCATTGGGTAAGCGTTCTACCAGCATATAGAAACCTCATTCATACCATCTGACCTGTCGTCAAAGACCACTCTTAGGTGGTACCTTCTCCAACCCTGCGGAGCGGTATCCAAAATATTTTGACTATGACTTCCTTCGGTCATATCCCTACTTTCTGCCAAGCTTTGTCGCCGGATGTCTCTCCCTCGGAAGTGCATGTCTTGTTTACTTCTTTTTGGAAGAAGTGCGTGGTTCCCTCGTGTCCATGTGCCTCGGGGGAGGCTCACGATATTGCGCTAGACATTGCCAAGTAAACGGCATCACGGCAACTATGTTCCCATGAGACAGGTTGGCTCGGAACACAGGAGTTCTGATCCTGAAAAGCCACCGCAGCCCGCTAGCCTCCGCGTTTTGCTCTCGATACCGCTCGTCAAGGCCTTATGTCTAAGTGGGTTCGCGCTGGCTTTCTTGTAAGTCATTACTTTTATGAATGCCGTATGTATATCTCAGCATTCCTCTCATTAAAACAGAAATACTGGCTTTGACGTCACTTTCGGTGAGAGTAGGACCCTGCATCAGTAAGACGTCACTAAGGCTAATCTTTGGCGTCTAGTACTCTTTTCGTACTCGGCGATCGAGCGCGGTGGTTTGAATTTCCAGGTTAGTGCCTGTCGCTGTCGTCAGCAATGTATCATTTAAAGCAGGTATTGTTTAGGCACACCAAATAGGCTATGCCCTTGCCATGTCTGGCGCTGTTTCTGTTTTCCTACAGCTCTTCTGCATGCCATACCTTCTGCGGCGCTTTGACCACGCGAAGATGTACAATTTTTACATGGCAATCTGGCCGTTCTGCTATATCTTCATGCCAGGACTCAACATTATCGCGCGCGCTGGTTTAGATCCAGCGACGGGCGAGCCGACTCCCGCCACGCGTGTATTTATATGGATGGGTATATGCGGTTTGTTGCTACTCGCCCGCACGGCGTGCTTGGCGTATTCGTGAGTTATGTCACCTCCGCCTTCTAACCGCCTCCTGATCATCGTGGGCGCCAGAGTGAGCATGATCCTCATCAAGGAGAGTGCCCCAGATCCGTCATCCCTCGGTGCCACCAATGGTCTTTGCCAGTTCTTTATGGTAGGTGTCAGCCGTCTTGTTGTAGGCCTGCACTCACTCGGATACGATACTCTAGTGTTTCGCACGGTCCTTCAGTCCAGCCTTTGCGAGCTCACTCTTCGCGTTCTCAAACGGCTTCGATCACGTATTAGTCCGGTACCTTTGGGTGATGGTAATGGCGATTGTTTCCTTCCTCGGGACCACATTTTCACGGCGGATAGCGGAGGGCCGACGGGTGCATCATCGCTGAGCATGCGCACGCGCCATGTTGGCGTTACGACTCGTCTTCCCATGCAGTGCGACAAAGCATTGCATTGCAGGAGGGACATGGGTGCAACGTTAAAAAGAGGGGTGTAGGTTAGACGAGTGGGTGTGACAGTAGAGACAGTAGAGGACAGTGCTCTCAACGTTGTGAGAGACCCTGCAATCCTGTAGAACTTTATCGCATGTATCGTTGCTTTTCTTTCCTTTGGTTCGCATACAGGCTTGAAAGCCAGTACAGGTCCCATCTTTTGGTGCCGAGGCTCGATTCATCTCGCCACGATCGCGCTGTCAACGAAAGCAGTCACATCCCGCCGGCAAACTTCAATTATTAAACTAGAAGATCTAGATTGGCGTTATTCGCCCGAGAATGGGTCGCCGTGTACAGTAATGTTGGCTACCACAGCACAGCCACCGAGGGTATGAAAGCGAGCTTGCAGATACAAGATCATGGCACGGATCTCAGCCCAGGGACACCCGGGCACAGTGGCTGTACTTACAGATCGCTCCCCAGTCAGCGGTCATGCGTGTGCCCTCCGCAGCACTTCCCCGATCCCCAGCTAGATTAGCATCGCAAAAGAAAAGACAATCCAAGCACCCGCCCACGTGTCCAAGACACCAAAAGAATACATACGACACCCGCTCAGAGCTTCGACGACGCCGGAGCTGGGAGCTCGTACAGTGCGTCTAGCTCGTTCTTGAACTTGGCATATGTCTCCTTGCTGAGGCATCGCGGAGGAGCCACGATCAGACACTTTGGCGCGTGATACTAGGGGCCAGGAACTTACCGACGGATCTTGAGCGTGGGCGTGAGGCAGCCGTTGTCCACGGTGAAGAGCTCCATGGTAATGTGTATGCGCTTGATCATCTCGAAGCTGCACGGCCCCACATTAGCACCCGGAACGACAGCTGTAGACGTATCTCCCACGTACCCCTTCAACTTTTCCGCCTGCGCCTGTTTCGTCAACTCAGCGAGAACCGCCGCGTTAACTTTGGGGTCATAGACGGCTGCCTCCAGGGCCGTGACGTCGGTGGGCGTGATGGGCTTGCCGTACAGCTTCGACACGAGGTCGGCAAACTGGACCGGGTCGGGTACGACCACGGCCAGCAGATACGACTGCAGCGAATCGCCGTGCACGAACAGCTGCGCGACGAGCGGGCACGCGCTGTAGACGTTCTCGATGTTCTCCAGCGCGACGTACTCGCCCTGTGCGAGCTTCATGATGTTCTGGAAACGAGGATGTTTACATCCACGTCAAACCGGAGAGCCACCACTGCGAACGCACCTTGACACGGTCGATGATCCGGAGCCGACCACACTCGTCCATCTCGCCGACATCGCCCGTGTGTACCCAACCATCCTCGTCTAGCGCTGCTTTTGTATTCGCCTCGTCTGCCGATGATACAGAACAGTCAGACCATCGATACCGCACAAGGAGGAGCCCGACAGTTACCCTTGTAATAGCCGATGAAGCAGTTGTCGCCGCGGACGAGAATCTCACCTCGCGGACGCGGCTTGTCCTCTGCAGAGTAGTTCATGGCCGGTACATCGAGCAACTTGATCTCCGAGCAAGGAACTGGGGGCCCAACCGTCCCACTTGACGTGGGGTCATCTGGCCAAACGTGCGTGCAAGTGCCACCATTCTCCGTCATTCCATACCTGAGCATGCCCAACACGGTCAGTGGCCTCCCATGGCTAATATGGTGACAAATACTGACCCTGTGAGTGTGTAATTAAGTGATTAGCGGAGTAGGAGAAGGCAAGAGGTTGTAAATACCTTCGAGAATGTCGCACAGCAGCGATATCCGCAGGAAGTCCATTACAGACGCGCTGATCGGCGCGGAACCACATGCCATCAGCTGCAGCTTGCCACCAAAGGCAGCTGCCACCTGCAAGCTCTGTTAGCAAAAGGATCCGATCACTCAGCCCGGCGATACCAACCTTTTTGAACACAATACGGTCCCACAGTGCGTGTGTACGCACACCGGTCGTGCGCAGCTGCTGCAATTTCACTTCCATAGCATAATTGAAGAGCTTCCCCTTCAGCCCAGGCGCTGAGGATGCCGCCATTGCCGCTTGGTACACGCGATTCAGCACGCGCGGGACGGCGGCGATGAAGGTGGGCTTCATGACTTGGAGATCTTCCAGGAGCCGGAGCGGATCGCCCGTGGAGAAGCCGATGCGGCCTCCGACAGACATGATGCAGAGCGCCATCACGCGCTGAAAAGGGAAAATATATGCGGATGTCGGCACATAAGTGCTCCGGAGGACATACCTCGTATATATGTGCCAGAGGAAGATACGAGAGGGCGGATCTCTCACCGGTGACTTCGTACCCATGCAATTGTGCATGGGCCGCATTCGCCAGGTTGCCATGAGTGAGAAGGGCGCCTGAGCCAGCGTCAGCGGGTGTCCCAGATGCGAGGAGACGAGAATTGCACCTTTTGGGTTTCCGGTTGTTCCCTGTCAATGTTCCGCGATGTGAGCTTGGACAGATAATCGGTATCACGCTGTCCACATACCGATGTATAGCAGATTGTGGCCAGCTGATCTGACGTTGGCTTTACGACGGGAACTGGCTCGGCGGCGCCCATCTCTTCCACTGCAAGGCACATGGGTGTAAGCTGCGAAACATGTGGTGCGTACGGTTGCGTACGCACATTCTTGTATGTCAATGACCTGGACGTTCTTCTCCTTGCCCCACGCAGAAAATGCCAGTTTGCTGTCGTCAGAGAGGACGGTCATGCAGACGATCATCTTGAAGGTGGGTATTTTTGGTGCAAGGCCCAAGAGGAATGGGATATGGTCCACTGTAGCGAATACGACGGAGATCTCTGCGTGATTCAAACTAGAGGCACGCTCAGATCGTGCATACGCCCATGCTTACTCTCAGACTTACATGTATTCTGACAAAAGACGCGTCTCGGGCGGTCAAGAGCGGCTAATAGAGGCTCGCAGAGGCCATTCTTACCTACGGAGTCCTTTCCAAGAGTGTCATACAGGCCCACGCCGACCTTTGCGTACGCGTGCAAAGCCAGGTCGATGATCTGCCACTCTACGCATGCCACGCGTCAAAAAAGCTGATCTCGTCGACCCACGGCGTATGGACGCACCAGGATTGTTCTTGCTCCAGATGCCCACGGTCTCCAACTGTCCGCCGCCGAGGACACCCTTCTGGAAGAGTGTGTAGAGGGCGCTGCCGATGGCGCGTCTGCGCACATCGACCTCGGGCCAGGAGTACCACTCGTAATGGTCCGCAAACTTGAGGGGGGTTTGGGAGACCTGGGGCCGGTAGCCGAAACAGGGACCGTTGCCACCACTTTTGAACCCCTCGTCGAACATCTCTGTGAGGACGGAAAAGGCGCCGGGCGAACGCACGGACAGGAACGGGTACGCGGCTGGAAGGGGGACTGGTCAGGGGGGGGGGTGCGCGGAGGCATTTTGGTACTTACTTGCGCGATAGTGGCCTGGAGAGGCAAGAAGTAAGAAGGATAGAGAGGAGAGTAAAAAGAGAAAGCACCTGTCTGGCCGGGTTTGCGGGTGCCCGGGACCTCTACGGACTGGTGAGCATAGTTTGACGAACTGCGGGGAAAGGGGACGGGGCTGTTGAAGGACGACATGGGAGACAGAGAGGGCCGGGAGAGGGAGGAGGATGGCTGGGCACATACTAGTATCTCAGAGGGGGCGTGATGCGGACGGTTACATGTGATCCGGCACGTCTCTCGCCGGCGTTTTACAGCCGACTGAAGCAGGCGGGAACGGGTCGCGGCCCATGGCGCTGACGACGGGGGCTCCCAGTGCACCGCCGCTGTGTGTCGACGCTGTGGGTCTCGATGAGCATCGTAGTCGAGCAGAGAGAGCGGCGGGCAGGGAAGCGAACACTGAGCTGGTGGCAAGCGACGCCGTGGGCCACTGCTCCTCCTCGTCCGTGCCGAGATCTGCTGCTCGTGACTGCCGTCGTGATCCCATCTGCGTTCTCACTCTCAGTCGTTTCGCCGGAGCCGTGGGGAATGCGTGTCTTCGACACGTTTGGGTACGAGACTAGGGAATGCACCTCCCGAGTCTCGCCCTTGAATGCGGATGAAATACTCGACGCTGCAGCTTTGCCGCACACCCTCGATATCTCAGGAATTGAATTTAGCGACGCAGATACACATCTGCTTGCGCAAACGCCAGCGACTCCGCTGCACCAAAGACTGGTAGCTCCAAGATGTGTCAGCAGCGGGGCGGCAGCCTCGAGCCTTCACTGCATCGACGCACTCTGCCCCGGCAATCATCAGAGCTCGGGCGAGACGGCGAATGCGAATGCGAATGCGAATGGGTCGGCCCTCGATCTCAGGCCAAGTCTGTCCATCTCTCCTCGGGGCCAGCGATCGGGCGTACGTCTCTCGGGCGCTTCCGCCCTTCTACTAGCAGCAACCTTGCGACCAGCCCGCTGGCCTGCTAGCCATCCACGGCGCTGTAATACAATAAAACAAATACATCCGTTGGGGCTCCTGCCTCTAGAAGTGCCGCCACGCCCATTGTGCCGCAAGCGTCTAGCCTTGATTGGTCTCCCATCCATCTGTCATGGCCCGCCTGCAGGTAGCTTGGCTCCCCGACATCTGACCCCGCCTCCGGGACTAGAAATGATGATACACCCACGACACCCAGCATTTTTCACACCCAGCCTCCATGCACGACTCGGCCAAAGGCCCGTCCCGCACGAACGGGCTGCCCCCAAACAGGACAACGGACTTACGTTTGACGTCCGACTCGAAGGGCCTTTCCATGCTCGTGTCGCCGCGCACCATAATATTAAATAGTCGTCTCCCCACTCCGCTTCGCGCCATACCCGTCCCCGCCACAGCGGCCAGACACAGACACACCCCGATCAGCGACAGGATCACTCACTCGTCGCAACCCGCACTCAGCCCGCACTCGTGTCGAAACGTTCAGGGATCGCCACCGGTGCACAGAGCGGAGGTATCGTCCCCGATGGATCGGCCATACCCACCAGACAAACAGAGAACCCCTCCGCCATGCTGGGAACCGCCGAGTGAGACACCGCAGGTGTGCGCCAATCGCGCCGACCGCGTAGCGAGACGCGTCTCATGCTCAGAAGTCCATCTCCGTGCTAGCGGCACATTCCCCACCTTCCAGAATGCAGCCGGAGCTCCGCACTGACGACCGACTGACCAAATCAGACAGTCAGCATTTCGTCATGCGCCAAAGGGCATCAGATAACACAAGTGATGATACAAGGGAAGAGACAATACAGCGTCCTAATGTTACATGGCGGCCCCACGCTAGGCGGCACGCCGTCGTCGCGAGGCATCATTCCGACCGACTTCTGGCACTATTCGTCACGGCGCGCTAAGCACAATCTGTACGCGCCAACAGGTTAGGAAGTTGCGCAATACCACAGGGCCACGCGGCGGCGCACCTTCATAAAGTCTTCGTAATTGAGCTGCACCCAGCCGTCACGATCCGTGTCGACCCTGTGTGAGAGCATGATTTACAAAGCCGCTAGAACGACGCCGCCGCCGCACGCACCGGTGGAATGCCTCTGTCAGGGCTTTCACCACCACACATGCGCGGACGAACCGATCGAAGCTAATCCCGGGCGGTGGGCCGTTCCCAGGCGCTGGGCCGGATGCTGTTGCGCACAGAGTATAACGATGGATTGAGCGGATCGGGAGCACAGGACCCACGCACCGTACTTCTGCTCTATCAAGGTTAAAATGGTAGGCGGGAGGTTGTAGCCAAAGCTACCGAGCGCCTCGGCGAGCTCGTAGCCCTCGATCGTGCCGGACCTGTCTCTGTCAAAGTGCTTGAACACCTTTTGCCAATCCTGGATGTACTTCCAGAGGCCGCAGAACTCTGCGGGTTTCCGATCAGAAGGCTGGTGCACGCGTGCGTGTGGGGGGACCAGACGCGCACCATTGAAACCTATTGATCCGCTGCGATCCACGTCCTGCCAGGAGGCGGGTCAGCGGGGGCAGACACAGGGACACTGTGCAAGCGAGGACGCACAAACATATTCATGAGCATCTTCACTGTGTCGAGATCAAACTCTATTTATGCCGTCCATCCAACCGGTCAGTGGAAAGACGGACGAGCGGCGGGAGACAACCAAAGCCGGACACGCACTGGACCAGTCTCCTGTAGAGCCACCGATCTCGGTCAGATTACGAGGCCGGATCGCAATCGGGGGACTGACCGTTCACGAGAGCATTCTGCAGCTCTTTGACGGAAATTGCGCCCGAGTGGTTCGTGTTGACTGCGCTGAACCATCGCCATAGCTGGGGGTCCGCGCCGTTGGGCGGCGGAGGAGGAGGGAGGGGCGATATGGCGGGGGAGAAGCTGCGATCGCCGTGTCCGCTGTAGATGCTGCTTGACGACGAGACGGACCTGGCGCCGTACGAGGGCGCACGGGCAGGGTCGTGGTGAGAGTGATGGGAATGATGGTGGTGGTGATGGTGGTGGTGGCCACTGTGGCTGGAGTGGACGGACATGGCTGTTGGGAAGAGAGAGGGCGGCGTCTGGAGATCGCGAAGACGCCTTAAATGTCGACTGTGGGAGTGGCGGGGCCGCC